CTAAGTGTATACTACTTCATTCAGACATCATTAATTTTAATGTTAATAAATAAATAAATGAATAAAAACAACAACAAAAAACATAGGCAACTCAGAAACTAAATAAAAATAAGCAAGAATATATCTTCAGAAGTTCAGACATTTGCCAATTTTGTTTTCTCAAGCATATGTGTTTGTGTGCCTTTTCACACTGATGTACATGTGTGTGCATAAATAGATCACCAGTCAACCTTAGTGCTATTCCTAAGGTATACGTTCCACATTCTGGGGGATTAGGTCTCACTGAATCTGGGGGTTCACCAGGGCTGGAGAACCCTCCTGTTTATCAGCCAGGCAGTGGTGGTGCTCGCCTTTAACCCCAGCACTTGGGAGGCAGAGACAGGTGGATCTGTGTGAGTTTAAAGCCAGCCTGGTCTTCTCAAGTTCCAGGAGAGCCACAGCTATACAGAGAAATCCTATCTGGAAAAACAACAACAAAAACAAAGAAGAAAGAAAAAAAAATTCATGTTCATGACCCATGTTGGGCCTCATGCTTGCAAGGCATGTGCCAAATGACCAAGTCCCCACTGCTAATTTTGTTTTTTCCTGAAATTTTTAAAATGTATGTTTGTATCTGTGTGAGTGTATGCCAAGTGTGTGCAGGTGCTCAAAAAGGCCAGAGGAGGGCGCTGGGTGAGCAGGCTCATGCAGAGAAACACAATGCGTATACAGTATGCCTATAGCAACACAGTTAACAGAGAAGCCCTGAAAACTGAGAGGGGCTATTTAGCAGCAATTAAGAAAGAATAGATTGACGCTTAAGAAAGAATAGATTGATGCTTAAGAACCAAGACAAACTTGGATCCATGATCTACAGACAAGTACAAAAAGCAAATTCTCAAGGTCATTTGTCACAAGTGACTCCATCCTGGGTTAAATTCAAGTTAGACCACCTCACAGCCATTACTGCATGCATTACTGCATAGAGACAGCAATGGCCTGAGTGAACCACGCTTCCACAACTCGGCCACCTCTAGCAACTCTGAGAAAAAAGAGGCACAGGGCCTGAGCATGCCATCCAGATTTACTCTCATACTTTCTTTTTCTTTTTGGTGAGAGTATACCAGTATAATTAACAAGGCAATTTGAAAGTATATCCCGTTCCACCCCACACTACTGACTAAGGCAGGCCAAGCTCTGTCTTATTAATATTAACATAAATATAACCTTTGGAAAACAGATCAATTAGTTCATAAAAGCTGCATACGAAAATGACATTAATGGAAAAGGAGAAAGGACTTAACTGAACTAAACCATGGTAGGCTACTGATAGCCTCCCTTCTGGGCCAGTGGATTCTGGTTGCTGACAGGACAGTCAGGGCTTCTGAAAGACCAGCAAGTCCATTTCATAGCTAATGTCTCCCCCCTTGTCTGCAAGCTCCAGTGAGCCACACCAAAGGGCAAGGGCAGGACTGCAGGCAGAATGCTGCCCACACTGTGGTTCCATTAAACAGGCCGCCCATGGCACTCCCTCTCAACAGCCAAACGGCAGAGCAGCTAGGAGCAGAGGGGCGGGCATGAGATTATAAATCTTCTTTCGAAGCTCTTGAGAACCGAGAGAACTCTTGTCCTTGGGACATTAAAATCCCCACCACAGTCAGGAGACAGTCCCATAAGGAAAGCCGAGGTTCCTTCACCTTCACTTGAAAGGTTGAGGGAGCTGTGTGCAATCGTCCCACCTGAAGCCTCTTAGAGAATCAACCCCTCCCTCATGGAGCACCACCTTCAAATGCAACATTAGAGTACAGGCCTGTTTTGCCAAAGTTAATATCCATGATCTTTTTAGAGAGGGGCTCACACTATAGCCCCACCCAGCCTTGAACTCTTTTGAGTTCACAGTAACCCTTGCCTCCATCTGCAGAGCACTGGGATTATAGGTGTGAACGGCTATGTGTGGCTCATGTCGTTTCAGACTTCACCAGAACTGTGCCTGCTCTAAATTAAGAGTGCACCCACAGGGTGGGCAAACTCATACAGCCCAGGCACCAGAGTTTCCCAAACAGTGGGACTCAGCATCAACCCACACACAGACACAGGGTAAGCATGCATGGAAAGCAGCATCCTGGTTCTGAGTGTATATAGCAAGATGGAGGACCAGAATACTCAAGATGCTTCTGGAATAACAGCAACATTACAAAGGCAATGTAGTGAATAAAAAGATGTTTCAACACAGTGCTGACACAGCTGGACATGCAAAAGTTAAGTACAGAACTCAAAGCTACAACGTTTCTAGAAAAAAGTACATAAAAAAATACCCCTGGGGCTAGGAGCTAGGGGGATGGCTCAGTTAGTAATGTGCCTGCTGTGTGAGCGTGAGAGCAGAATGAGAATCTTGGGCATCCCCCTAGAAAATGCTACGTGTGGTATACGAGGCTACAGCACCAGCTGAGGGTGGGAGAACACAGCAATGGGGACCCCTTATGGTTAAGTGTCAGCCAGTCTAGTCCAGTCAGCAGCCCCCTTCAGCGGGAGACCTTGTCTGAAAAATGTAAGGTAGATTGTGTACGTTGATGCACACCTTTAATCCCAGCACTAAGGAGGCAGAGGCAGGAGGATCTCGTGCTCCAGGCCAGCCTGGTCTATGTAGAAGCTTCAAGCCAGCCAGGGCTACACAGTGAGACACTGAGTCTCAGAACTCAGTAAATAGTGGAAAACAACAGAGGAAGACACTTGACACCAACCTCCAGTCTCTGCAACAAGACCCATACATGCATGTACATGCAAGATCAGGTATACCCCGCCCCCACAAACAAAACTTATGACCTTATCCATCAAAAACAAAACAAACATACAAAAAACAAACTTAACTTCTCCAAAATTAAGATCTCAAAAGACATTGTGATGGTGGTTATACACTGAGAGGAAAGCACGTTTGAAGAACAGTACTTAGGATAATGAAGTTGTCAGCAAAGTGTGGTGGGTGGGTGGCACAGGCCTGTAAACCTAGTTGAGTTCCTGGGAGGCTGAGGGCAAGGGAATCACTGAATGTTCAAGGCCAACTTGAGCTATAATTATAAGACCCTGTCTCACAAATCTTAGAAAACAAAAACAAAGATGTCCAAAAGAAATGAATAAACAAAGTAATTTCAATTCATCCAGGCATGATGATGTAAAGACAGCATTGGGAGGCTGAAACAGGAGAACTGATGGAGGCCGGTCTGAGCTATACCTTCTCTCAAAAAAGACAAGAAAGAACTTATGCCAAAAATAAAGCGACCTTACAACTCGGAAACAGAAGGAGAGATGTCCCAGTTTTGATTTTTTTTGTTCATTTGCTTTTCGAGACAGGGCTTCTCTCTGTAGTCCTGGCTGTCCTGGAACTCACTCTGTAGACCAGGCTGGCCTCGAACAGAGATCTGCCTGTCTCTGCCTCCCAAGTGCTGGGATTACAGGCGTGCACCACCACTGCCTGGCTATGACCCATTTTTGAAATGAGCAGCAGCCGGTGTACATAGACACTCCCTGAGGACTGGGGCACACACAGATGATCAGCCTGGAAAGGTAGACATCTCTCCTCTCCTAGGATGGCCAAAGCTTAATGGACCTGATGAGGCGGAGGCCTGGCGATGACAGCATACTGCAGGGGATCCAGAATGGTGTGTCACTCTGCACAGCGGCCGAGTGGCTTCTTTGAAAAGAATCTCCACCCAGAACCCAGAGCCCAGAGCCCATGTCCCACAATGACATGTTCATCCCAGAAAATGAGAATGTATGTCTGCTTGAAAAGTGGAAACAGTAGTTTTACCTGCAACTGTCCAAAACCGAAAATGACTCACTGTCCCTGGGTGGGGAAAGGATAAACTGTGGCATACCTCTATAAAGGACCCTTGCTGGTCAGTGGTGGTGCATGCCTTTAATCCCAGCACTTGGGAGGCAGAGGCAGGCAGATAGATCTCTGTGAGTTCAAGGCCAGCCTGGTCTACAAGAGCTAGTAACATAACCCAGGAATGAAAAGGAACAAATGACTGAAAACACAGACAGATGGATCTCAGATACACTGTGCAAGTTGGAGGTACATGCTGAATGTCTCCATTCATGTAACATTCTGGAAAAGGCAATCACTGGGACAGACATCAGAGGCCCTGTCTCCAAGGCAGGGAGCAAGCGGATGCAGAGGGACAGAGGAAAACCTTTATTGTGTTCAGACTCTCCCCTATTTTGGTTACAGCTGGCAGTCGCCTGCAGACCATGCACAAACACAGGCGCAATTCGGTGCATCTGAATTATAACCTTTTAGAAAAGTTACAAATGGAAACTACATGACACAAGCAACGACTATGAATGCAAACACAAAGTTGTCCACACCCAGGGGAGGCCTCTGGACAGGATGAGAGGCAGTGTGCTGGGTTATCTGACCAAGGTGCAACAGAGGGGACTGTGAACCAACAGAAGCAACAGGAGACACTGCATGCACGGTGGAGGACCGCTCAGCTGTAAGCACTAGGATCAGAGACAGGAAGGCTCCCTCCACACAGTGCCCTTCAGTCAGCTTGGTGTCCGTGCACCTTCCCCTCTGCAGGGCTGGAACTTATGTCCAGACTGGATTTTGCTCAAGTAGTACAAGTGGGTCATAGTGACAAAGCACTGTACTTACAGGTGACAACCCATCACGACCCTAACAAGGAGCACACTGTCCTTAGGTCAGGAGCCACAAGGTCCACCCGCCATCAGCATGGGCCTGAACAACCTAGCTTGCTTGGCTAACACGACAGGCTCCAACCAGTTTCCACAGTTGTGCTGGCTGTCCCTCTCCCACAGCTGTCACCTGGGTACCCTCACCTGCCCTTGCCGCACACTTGGGAATGTTGTCTCCATCCATCCATGGGCACAGAGTCCAGGTACTGGACAAAAATGACCATGGGGCCCCAGACCTAAGAACCCTAGCAGCATGACCCACATCTGCAGCACCCGCCCTCCGGCCATCCTGTTCTGTGCTATGGAGTGAAGTAGACATACTGTACCTTTCGTTCTTCCATCTGTGGCCCCTGGCTTCTTGGTCTCTGCTGTGAGTAGCAGCTCATAGGGGTGTTCGTCCTCTTCCCGGGGGACACTGCTTTGAATCCTGGGTCTTACAGCCAGGCCCTAGGAGATAGGAACACCCAGAGTCCATTGGGCACAGAGACAGGTAGTACACAACAAAGCTCCAATTCCCGCTACCTTGCAGGGCAGGCCAAAGCAGGAAAGGGAAGGTTGGGCACTCCGTGGGCTCATGGGTGCTTTTCTAAGCCCATCAAGTGCTCTGGCTCATTCCCCAGAGGTTATCATGCCTGAAGCTTGGAGTCCAGTGCAACAGGGATGGAAAAGGACAGGACAGAGATAGGGCATGGCAGGAGAGTGGGACTTAAGACCTCACTCCTCACAAATCCACTCCTGAGTGGAGCTGTAGCTTATGTGGCACTACAGGAAAGGGGTGTTATCACATGAGCCTGGTACCCCATGCTCTGCCCTCTGCCCGGACAAGTCACACACTGCCCCTCTGTGATGCAGCTGAAACGCTGCTAACCAGAGCTAAGGAACAGATGAAGCTGCTTTACTGGATTTTTGACACCCCACCTGTGAGTCAAATAAAACACTTACTGATAAAGTACTCAGACTCAGTAACAGAAACACCTAAAACACCTGAATATGAAATCTCCACAGTATGACTAAACCATTTCTTTTTTTTCTTTCTTTTTTTTTTTTTTTTGGCCCCATTTTATCCTTCAGAAAGTGATAAAAATCCAAGCCTCTTTCCTCTGCCCTCCCCTCTCCCTCTCCAGTGTTTCTGTGTGAATACTTTGCTAGTAGTTGTTATATTAGCTGAACTGTCCCCTTTCTCCATGCTCCTTCTCTGATGTGCACATATCCTACCCAAAGGCCAGAATCTACCTCAAAAGAAAGCAAAATGCTCATGCCACTTACTGGTCTGTCCTCATCCTCCTCTGCTGTTACAGCCCTGGCTAGCCTGGAACCTGCTGTGTAGGTCATGCTAATTTTAAACAGGCAGATCCTCCGGTCTTTCCCTCCCAGCAGCTACGATTAAAGGTGTGAGCCACCACAGCCGGCTTGTAACTACCTTCTTCCCAGATCCCAGGAGCTGTGGGAACAGATCCCCCTGAAACTAGCTTTCTACTGAATTATAAGGTAAGTTCAGATGCCTCCAACAATCTTGAGAGTCAGCAACTAGCAATGTGAGTTTCTGTGGGCAAACAGCAGCTCTATCTATGGAGGTCTTGACTCAAACAGGTAAGCGCCTCCCTTACAGAAAATGCAGCAGCTGTGGGGCTCCTGTTAGGTGGGTTAGGTGAGCATCAGGGGGTCTTCAGCTAGTCTTGGCATAGAGCCAAGATGGCAACACCACAGTGCTGGAGACAGAGGAAGGGCTGTGGACACCCCTGCTCTGATAATTCCCTCATCTGCCCTGAATCCGTTGTGTTTTAAAGGCCAGTTAAGAATCATCATCACATGCCAGCTGCTGCAGTCAAGCCAGAGCACAAGACTCCCAGAGCTGTTTAAGTAATGGTGCAGCCTGGGGGCCAAGAGGGGCAGCTGGGATTCCTACTCTACTCATACCTAACAGATCGGCAGACCTTGGGAGGGGCTGGACTTTGCATAGACACCACACACTGGAAAAGCACCAGGTTAGTGATTCACCAGTCCTCCTCTGTGGGGACAGCTCACAGTGAGCACGGGCTCACAAGTCCTCCTGAAGGGAGGACAGCACTCCCAGACTCAGACTGAAGGAGATGCCCATGTTTGTTTATTAGCAATGCTGCCACTCTGATGGCAGCACAATGATCTCACTCTAAAACTGTGCTGAGCACAGCAGACACCCCCCACCATGCAGGGCACCTGGAAGCTAAGGGCTCCTTTACTCTGGGAGCCCTGGGCATCATTTATTTGGTTTGTTTTCATAGGGACACAAGGGAACAAAGAGGGACTATTAAGTCGTTCACACCGTGTCAACTTAACACCACAGACTTCATTGGTAGGAATTCGTACTCTGTAGGTTTTCACCCACATGATCCCTCAGGCAGAGCCCCGGAAATCTGATTCCTAGTATGTTTACCTCAGCAAGGGTTCTCACCCAGGCCCAGACATGCTTCCCTGAAAGCTAAGTGACAGCCAGGATGCCTGGCCTACAATACAGGGCAGGATAGAAGACTTCAAGGGCAGAACAAAGGTGAGCAGAAACCATCAACCACCACAACTGGAGACCAGTCAACAGCCAGGATGCCTGGTTCTTGCCATTTCATCTGTAAACTAAGAAAGGGCCAGGGACCTGTCCAAGGTTACACAAAGTTCACAGCAGAGCTATTGCCAGGAAATGCAGTTTCTCAGATTCTAACCCAGACTGGCCTCATTTTCCTCCATCCAATTTGAACCGCCTATCCTTCAACTGCCTAATGAGAGCCCCTGCTTGGAGAAAGACAATAAACAAGGGTATTCGTTTCCTCTTGTTCTGGCCCTGAGCAAGCTAGGGGGATTAAACCTTTCTTGCAGACATCCCTTGCTCCCACAGAGGTGGCCCTGTGTCACAGTGACTATAGCAGTAACTGGTTTTCAAAAGAAAGGGTTCTGTTTTTCACTAAATTACTTCTTAATCTTTCCCTTTCCCTCCAGGGCTGGTGTGACTCAAAGCTAAAGAGTCCCTGTGGAGAGCAGCACCACTTAGGCACAGGATGTAAGTGGCCAGCCATCACCTAGCTGTGGCTGAGAAGTCCCAACACCCAACACAGAGGAGGCCTCAGCCAGCCCATGGCAGCCCATCATGAGAAATAAAAACTTTTCTCTGTGTGTGTGTGTGTGTGTGTGTGTGTGTGTGTCTGCATGTGTGTATGTTTGTGAATCTATGTGTGTATGTCTGCATGTGTGTGTCTGTGTGTGTGTCTGTATTTGTCTATGTTTATGTGTGTGTATGTATGTGTATGTGTTTATGTGTGTGTGTATGTGTGTGTATGTATATGTGTGTGTATGTATGTGTTGTGTGTCTGTGTCTGTCTGTGTGTGTGTCTGTCTGTGTGTATGTATGTCTTTTTGTGCATGTGTCTGTGTGTTTCTGTGTTTGTGTGTGTGTATGTATGTCTGTGTGTGTTGTGTCTCTGTGTGTGTTTGTGTGTGTCTCTGTGTGTATGTATGTATGTCTGTGTGTCTCTCTGTGTGTGTCTCTGTGTGTGTTTTCTCATGTCTGGCATCATGATAAGATCATTACTTGAATAAGCAAGCTCTCTCACAGTCTCACATGTTCAATAGATATACAGTCTTGAGCTCTGGCTTGGTCATAAAGCCATCCTTAGCACCAGAGACTGTTGGGTTCAATCCTTCAAGTCCTATAAACACAGTAAAATGGCCTTAAGTTTACTGACATCCATGTCTCAGTATGAGGTTTAGTTTTAAACTTTGAGAGAATTGGAAACAAAGACAGTGGGGTTGCAGCTCTTGCTGCTCCTGCAAAAGACCTAAGTGTAGGTCCCAGCACCAGTAGTGGGCGGCTCACAAGCATCTGAAACTCCAGTTCCATGGGATCCCATGTCCTGTTCATTCTCTCAGGGTCCCAGGCATGGTTGTGATGCACAGACAGACAGACACAGGAAAAAAGTATCCACATACATAAAATAATAAAAATCCTGTCTCAATCACTGAGAACAATGACTCAGGCCATATATCCTCTATATTCATTCATCCATAATAATAGCAAACAGGCAAGTACAGGGCTCTCTTCTCAGTCTTCCAAAGACCAACTGTGTTGCTTTGACTGATTTAGAATTCCAGGTTATTTGGAGACATTTCCAAAGGATGAATCTCACACAAGGGCATCCTAGCAGGCAGGAGTGCTGCCTCTGCGCCTCACAACCTGTGTCTCCTGAACTACATGACAGCAGGAAAAAACTCTGTCCTCTAACACCCACTACAAGTGCGCACACGTGCACATGTACACACACACACACACACACACACACACACACACACACACACACGGAGTAACATAATAAAACCTTTTTGTTTTGTTTTTCAAGACAGGGTTTCTTTGTGTAAGCCAGTTACACAAGTTAATTTTATAAACTTGATTATTTAATAAACTCACAGATAAAATATCACACAGCAAAAGTATCCAGACCAAAGTGTCTATCTTTCTCCTTGTCAACTCTGACCTGATCTGTGTTTGGATACAGTTTTCACAAGAAACAGTGAAAAGGAAGAAACAGAAAGGAGGTCTCTGGGGCCCAAACACCAAAACTTGATAACGTGGTACTGTTCATACAGTGTTAAGGATGAGGGTCCTTGGAACCTTGCATCAAAAGACAACACAGTCTAAGGGCAAAGACTGTTCTGCTGGGGCAGCCACACAACAGTAGGCCAGGCTCCATATGGCCAGTATGCTCCTATTGCACCAAATCTCCAGATTACTGACACGTGTATATTACAAACAAACATACTAAGTACAGGGGCAATGAGAAAACAAGGAGTCAAGGCTGGTGATCTGCCTTAGAGGGTAAGAGTATTTGCTCTGCAAGCATTAGGACCTGAGTTAGAATCTCCAGCACCCACAGAAAAAGTATGGCATAGCTGTTTGTGTGCCTGTTACCTACATGAGCACATATACCTGTACACTCATGTATATGCCTCACACTCATACACAAATCCAACAATCCTCTCTCTAAAAACAGAAAATACGCTGGGGAAATGGCTCAGTGACAGAGTGCTTGCTTGGTTGGCATAAACAAGGCTTTGGGTTCAATGCCCAGGGTCTAGAGAGATGGCTCAGCAGTTAAAGAGCACTGGCTGCTCTTCCAAAGGACCCAGACTCAAATCCCAACACCTACATGGAGGCTCACAACCATGTGTAACTCTAGTTCCAGGGGATCCAATGCCTTCAATCTATCTCCGTGGGCACCAGGCAGAGGAATGGTGTACACACACACACACACACACACACACACACACACACACACACACACACACACACACACACCAAAAAAAAAAAAAATCTTGAAAAGAGGAGAACAGAATCTCCTTTGAACTCACAGATCTACCATATAACAAATGCTATGTGCGTGACAGGGTGACCCCCAACCCTCTACCTCAGAGGCTGCCAAGGGCAAATACTTCTTATCTATGTGCTCTTCCTCCTCTTCATCAGGTGGAGGCTTTGCTGGAGGCGGCGGACGTTCTCTCTGCGCAAGAAAAATAAATATTCTACCATCTCTCCTTTTCAAGTATTTAAGGTTTTGGCTAAGCCATATTTTAGTCCTTGGGAATAAAAAGCATTGTGTAAAGAATTTCTTCCCCCAAAAGCCTAAAGTTAAGATTCCTATCTCTCAGCACACAAAGGACCCCACACACAGACACAATTCAATCATGGTTTCTAATGTGTGCAACAAAGATCATAAACAGCTCCTTCCTGGCTGTAAGGAGAATGGCACGGAATGCTCAAATGGCCTCACTGGCACAAGTACTCTACATGACAAACGCGAAAACCTGAAAGCAAAAACCAAAGGCTCAACATGCAGTCTACACCGAAGAGAAAGAACAGCTCCGGAGCTCATCTAAAGCCACAACTCCCAGGGAAGCAACAGGAAAAGCAACCAAAGACAGAACGTTTGTCCTTGCTCAAACACCATCGCTCATCAGGGAAAGTCTTGCATCAATCTCTTAGTACCTGTAGTTTCAGCTAGTCAGGGGACTGAGCAGGAGGGTCACTCAAGCCCAAGAGTTTGAGGTTACCCTCAACTCAGAATAAAACATTTCTTGGGTTATTTATTTATTTATTGTTGTTGTTGTTTTGGGTCTCACTACGTAGCCCTGGCTGTCCTGTAACTTGCTATGTAGACCAGACTGGCCTCACAGAGATTCCCCGCTGCCTCTGCCTCTAGGTGCTGGGATTAATGGCATGTGCCATCACACCCAACCCAGCACATCTCTTGTTTTTAATTGCCCCCTTCAATAATAAATATGTGGCTATAGGGAACCCTGTGTGTCACTCCTGCTCATTTAGACATGGGCATGAGCACCAGCTTCCCTAGGGCAGGGGCTGGCAAGCGTGGTCTTGAAGGACCTCAAGCAACTATGCTAGGGTTCACAGTCAGTTCTACCACAGACAACAGGCAAATAGTGCATGTGACTTCACTCAAAAGCAAAGCTTCTGTCAGTGGGCTGTGGTTTTCCAACCCTATCCCATAGTGAGGAACTCATTAAAGGGGGACATTGGGTAGGTGAGTGAAGAACTTCCGGAACACAGATGACTTTGGTGTGGTAAAGCCACTGTACCTGTAGCTTACTCAGGGGAGGACTAGGACAGGGCTGGCCCCAGCCCCAGGTTTGCAGGTCAGTTCTACATTGCTAAAGCAGGTGGGGTTTGGAATGCTGAATGACAGAGATTCCCAGAGAAATCTGCAAAGATGCTGTTTTGGATTTTGGCACCTGGGACCTCTTGGTCCAAACATGCTTATCTGCTCCACACCAGCCTCCATCACTCAGTCCTCCTGTGAGGTCAGAAAACTAGAACAGGAATGGCTACAACATACTTATGCATACATGCCAAAGCATGCACTCCAAGACGCTCTGGCTTTTGCTTACAACAACTGGCAGAGGCTGGCCATTAAAGGTTACTCAGTTCTCCGCATGACTGTGTGGCTTCTGCAAAGGCACTAGCGCCCCCTACTGGGTGACAACTGTAAGTCCCACTTAAAGCAAAGCCTTCTCCAGCACGTTAGGTAACAATAGCAAATGGTCCCCTCACCACTCACAGCGTGAGTCCACTTACAGTTCTCACTAGCATCTACTCTGCTACTCTGCCATACTAGAGGGCTCACTGACACCCACACTCAAACACTGCAATTGCATCAGGGCAGAGAGCAAGGCAAGGAGACCACCAACAAAGAACACGCCAGGCCACAGTTAGAAAGGTAAGGAAGACTGTGCCTCCTGCTAGAACTGGGCCAGAAGGGAAAGTCAACACAAACAAAACAAAACAAAACAAAAAAAAAAAAAAACAAAAACCAAAAAAACCCTACACATATGGCCCCGAATCTGTCCCAAGGTGGTTAGCCAGGCAGGTCAGACAAGCAGCAGGGTGTGACAACGTGGATAACAATGTGGGGAGAAGGAAAGAGAGTGGGGACAGACAGGGTTGCAGACAAGGCAAGGCAGACTGACTCTGGGGGAGAAGAGGACATCAGGAGTCTGGAGGCCCATGAACAAAACAGTGCCAAGACAGGAAGGACAGACTGAGGAGAAACACAGCACTGCTTTCATGAAATGGGGCTGATAAGAATCAACCACCACAGGCAGTCTGATTAAATCTGCTATGCCCAACCCGCAGGGCAGGACCACCCGTCCACATAGCTGGTAAGGCAAGCCAGACTGGGAACAGCCAGCCACTCCTGTCACTGGGGAGTTCTGCTCTCCAGGGAGAACAAACCACACATAGCAAGATTCCAAAGGCTTAAACAGTACTGAGGCTAAACCAGAAGACTCAGAATAGTGCTAAGGCGGCGGGGGATGGAGAGATGCAAACTGGCTATACTGAGCTCGAAAAAATGAACTACTTCAGTGTCATCTGCAGTTTTACCACACAGAACAGGAGAGACAAGACAGAGAACAGCACATAGGCTCAGGCCTCTGAACAAGAACATGTACCAGACTTCCTCTCGCCAGCACCCCACTAGCTGCCACCACGGCCCCCAACAAGCTCAGGCCTGGGACATACAGGCCTCACTCCAGCAGTTCTTGCTCCCGTGGCTTCAGCCTCCTTGTTCACGGAATCTCGGTCTGATGATCGCCCACTGGCTGTGCTGTCCAAGGAGTGGCAGGACACAGCATTGTACAGTGCCTCGTAGGGACCTTCCTCCTCAGCATGTGTATCAAAATCAATGATCAGTTCAGTTACTGCTTTCTCCACATTCCCTGGAAGAGAGGACAGAGGGCAAGGTTATTAGTAGAAGGGGCAGAGTCTGGGGTCCAGACACTCTGGCTGAACACAGACTCCACGGCAATACAAACCGTAATGAACACTAACCCACAGGGAACACAATCACTGTGATAAAGACAAGCAAGGGTGATTTTCCCTGATTCAATACAGAGGAGAGCAGCATAGTGGTAGAACTCTGGCTTAGCATCCACGCAGCCCTGGATCCAATTTCCAACAAAAAAGTACTTAAATACATAATTCCCATGTCCTTTGTAAGTGCTCCAGTGTTGCAACACCATGTGAATGGAACTTAACCTGAACATGTAGCAAAGTGTAAATGGAAATTAAAGGAATGCTTCAGATTACCACTGATTTTTTGTTTTGTTTTTTGAGGCAGGGTTTTTTTCTGTGTAGTTCTTGCTGTCCTGGAACTTGCTTTGAAGACCAGACTGTCCTCAAACTCACAGAGATTTACCTGCCTCTGAACTCACTCTGTAGACCAGGCTGTCCTGGAACTCACAGAGATCCACCTGCCTCTGTTTCCCAAGTGTTGGGTTAAGGCTTGTGCCACACTCAGCCTTGATCTTGTGTTTTTGAAGCAGGGTTTCTCTTTGAACCTGGAGCTAGCTCACTTCAAATGATTTAATGAAAGCTCCACATACTCAGAGGAAAGCAAAGCCTTTCTGAAACAAGGCACTCATGACTTAATGGCTGTCCTCTCAGCACTGTTAGAAATGGCATCCCTGAGTGGCTTGTCATATCACAAATGTCAGTGTGAGTCCTTGCAAGACAAGAGCTCAGTGAACGAGTGACCCCACTGCTAGCAGATTCTAAAATCAAGGAAAAGTTTGGAGTGGGGTGAGGATGGAGGGGGGTGCTGAGGAACCCAGGACAGATAAGCCGGTCTATAGCCCTCCCACTTCTGCTCTGCTCCACCCCTCTCCTCTTTATGTTGCTTTATGGTTTACTGCCATCTATATGTGGATGACATTGTCAATTAGGGTTTATTTGTCTTTGTCTTTTATCATAGCACAGGCTGTTCAGTAAACCAGAAAGGATTCTGTTATGGAATATTAGTTTAAGATATGTTACATTTGTTTAATATCTGTTTAATGACACAAAGATATGTCATGTTCTTTTATGTTGCATTTGTTTAATTCTGTAAAGCTGTGTTACTTTGCCTATCTAAAACACCTCATTGATCTAATAAAGAGCTGATAGCCAATAGCAGGACAGGAGCGAGAAAAGAAGGACAGGAGGGCATCAGGGACCAGCCATGGAATAAGGAAAGAAAGAAATACATTAATAAAGAAGTGGGGGGGGGGGGATGGAGAGATGGCTCAGAGGTTAAGAGTACTGGCTGCTCTTCCAGAGGACCTGAGTTCAATTCCCAGCAACTACATACATGGTGGCTCACAACCATCTTCTATAATGAGATCTAGTGCCCTCTTCTGATGTGCAGGCAGAACACTGCATTCACAATAAATGAATACAATAGAATAAAGAAAGGTAAAAAGCACAGAGGCAAAATGTAGTTAAAGAGAAACAGGATAATTTAAGTTAGAAAAGCTAGCTAGAAACAAGCCAAGCTAAGGCTGGGCATTCATAAGTAAGAATAAGTCTCTATATAATTTATTTGGAACTTGGGTGGCAGGCCCCCAAAGAGTAAAAAAGAACAACTACAGGATTCTGAGATGATAAACACACCTCCTACCCAGACCACCTACATATAATGATTTAGTGCCATAATTGCCATGTGCACAGGACTAGCCAGCAGATCTCATTGAACCAACTGTTCCCAATACACTGTCATGTGTTTTGGGATAGGAAGCAACTTTGATGAGCCTGCCAATTACACATCACTACAGAAGTAGAGACCAAAATAAAGCAGACATAGGGCTGGAGAGATGGCTCAGAGGTTAAGAGCACTTACTGTTTCTGAAGAGGACCCAGTTCAGTTCCCAGTACCCACATGACAAATCACAGGCATCTATAGAACCCACCACCCTCTTCTGACTGGTATGGGCTCCTGAATGCATGCTGTGCACATAAACCCACCTGGCCATACACATAATTTATATGTATATTGTTGTTTTGCTTTTTTTTTTTTTTTTTTTTTTTTGTTTAAAAGACAGGGTCTTACTATGTAGCCCTGGTTAGCCTGGCTATGTGGACCAGGCTGATCTCAAACTCACAGAGAACTGCCTGTTTTTGAAATGCTAAGGTTAAGGCACATGCCTGGCTTAATTAAAAAAAAAAAAAAAAAAAGTTCTTTTTTTTTTTTTTTTTTAAAAATAAAAAGAGAAGAGTAGGACAGATAATACCCATAGGAAAATCTATGCCATGCCTGCTAAAATTCATGGACACAACTGAACATAGTAAGTGGTAATAACAACCGGCAATTATTATTTGAATTAAGAACTTTCCAATTTGTTCAAGAATGACTGACTGTCCTCAGGCTGTACCTCTTTCCTGGCTGTGAAGAAACACCTCACCCTGAGACTTTGGTGCTACGGCATCTGTGCCTGAGAGGAGAGGTAGCTGAGCTGTGGAGGTCTTATCTACTTCTTTCACACTTCTTTTTCCAGTCATGTGATCTGTAAGGAAAGATGGTTAGAAATAAGAGGTTGCCCCAAGCACGGTGTATTGTAGGATAGCCATCCCTGGTCCCCAGACATTGAGGCCTCACACCTTCTATCAGTGCTGCTATCTGCTGGCTCTTCTGAGAAGGCAGGTCCCGCACAGTGTCGAGGGCAGTCAGCCCACGGTTGTCCTTTATGTTAACATCGATTCCTGGAAAGGACGGCAGGTGGACCAGGAAAGTGAGCACATTCAGGCAAGTCCAAGGACACCCACAGCTCTCAAGCTGCACAGCTAACATTCTTCACCCACAGTCATCAACAGTCCAGCGTTCCAGGACCAAGACACACCATTCTAAACCACACACATATGCTGGCATGTGGGATCAGCGCTGCCAACCTCACCTGCAGCCAGCAGAATTTGCACCACATCGGTCTTGCCAAACAAAGCAGCCTCATGCAAAGCGCTGCCCATCTCCGTCTGGAAGGCAAACAAGAGCGTAGCAGCACGTCATGAGAACAGTTGGGTGTGTCACATGACAGGTGGGAGGCAGATAAGGAGGCAGCTAAGCCACACAGAGTCCTCTGGGGGCTTCATCTTTTCCAACATTTCTCGTATGGGTTCTTAAACCAACATGGTCCACACAGCAAGACAGACCACTTCTGTGCCATCAAAGGACATAAGCCTCCACTTGCTTGTAGGGATGCTGACCAGTAAAACCTGACCAAGCTCCATGTTCCTGGGGAGAGGGAATAAAAGCACCTCATGGCCCAAGTGGAGAGTCAGCACCAAGCTTAGGAAGTACTGACTGAGAAGCCCGCTATGACAGAGGAGCTCTAAGTCACATTGGCAGTTGAGGGGGTCAGGGAGGGGGCATGTGTGGGAAGATAATGAACTTTCTGGTTTTGAGATGGCCCACAAGCACTTCTTTTCAGGGTTTAAAGACCACATCCCACACCCTGAAAAGAAACAAGCAAAAACACTAGACTTACTCCATAGAGCTCATCTGCCTCTACGATGTCATAGCAGGATAAAGTGACAAAACAGAAGCACGTGAATGTGATATGAAACGTGCTAAATACACACACAGCCCAGCAGCACTGTACTTGTCCCTTTTCCACCGACAAGAACCCTGTGCCAGGAGAGATGTCTGTCTGTCTTGCTACCTGGTAGTTGCTATCCATGCCGGCGTCCAGCAGGACCTGCACCACAGCCTTGTGGCCATTCCTTGCTGCCAAGTGTAAGGGGGTGTGCTTCCTAGTGCTGCAGCTCAGGAGGTTGGGGTGTGCACTCAGCAGCATCTTCACCACCTCCAGCCGCCCGTAGAGCGCTGCCAAATCCAGAGGTGTTTCGAATTTGTTGTTGCGCATGGTGGGGTCTGTGAGCTCCTCCAACAAAGCCTTCACTACCTCCGTGTGGCCGTACTGGGCTGCACAATGCAGGGCAGTCTCATTGTCATTGTTCTGAGGGTTAACAAGCACAGCATATCAGAGAGGAGTGGGGTAAGGGACTAACATCTGCCTGTATAATCACCCATAAAACCACTGAAATTTAAATGAGAAAAATAGCAGCAATACTTAGGAACTTTACAGGAGTCAGAATCCTGGCACCGCCCCAAACAATCAAGCCTGATGGCTCCCATTGGCCACATCTGCCTCCACTCCCTGCAGGAAGGGAGCATTCCAGGAACACTTGCAAGCTCTGTGCGCCTTCAAGGGCGCATCTCCATACTGAAGGAGAGGGAACAGGGAATTTGGCAGGCATTTGGTAGACGCCCTGGCATGCATGAATACTACATCACTGCCATTGTTTCATTTAAAACTTCAACTGGTTTTACAAGCATTTCTTTGTTCAACCCCGTGGTTCTGATTCTGGGTTTATCCACCATCCACAGCCTTCCACAAAGCTTTTAAAAAGGAGGTTGTCATCTGTAGCTCCTGGCATGCAAATCAATCGGCCAGCAGGGAGAGTAACAGAGCAGAGCACCGCAAACCATTCTCAAGGTAGCAGCTGGCAGCCATTTCTGAAGAGGAAGGCACAGGCTCACCTTATCCTGCCCTCATGCCTACTGGTGAAGGGCACATGGGGCAATGCATGCAGCTTCTACTGCATAAAAGTGAGCACGCTGGGGACCTTCTCATGTAAGAAAGGGACAGGCTCTGGGATGCTTGATGTGAGAGGTGCAAAATATTCCAATGCAAAATTGTCCTCCATTCAATTCATAGTCTGAAGGCCTCTGACACCAATATTGTCTCAAGGATAGAATCTGGGGTAAAACTGGGGAACTTTGTGTCTTTTCAACTGTCAAAAGTAAAATTGTGTTCTTCATTGAAGCAGACAGTTTTTCACAACCTCTCTTTTCTGAGAAGCGCTCATGACAGCAAGCTCTCACATGTCTCAGTCCTCAGTTTACCCAGGCAGCTTCTGCTACTTTGGGGAAGACGAGGCTTGAGAGGGCCTGCCCTGAGTCAATACTATGCACCTGTCAGTTGCCACAAGTTAAAAATTAACTATGTCTACAGTAGCTTTAATTCTGTTAGTGACATTAAAGGGAACAGATGAAGAGTTACCCAAACATGCATCAATTCCATCTGCTTTTGACTGCATCATTTTGTTTTCTGTTTTTTTTTTTTTTTTCTCCCTAACTACACAAAAATGGATGAATTGCTGAGACCAAGGCCCCAAGCAGCCAGAGTGACAGCAAAGGAATGTTTTAAACAAAGCAAGGACAGAAAAAGTGACAGCAGGGGCACATGCAGAGAGAAAAACAAACAAGACGCAGACTTGCCAGAGCGCAGCACAGCTCAGAGAAAGCAGCCACAGGACACCACAGCTCTCAGTGGTTCAATGGAAAGCAAATGTGTGGGGCTCCCTGTGGCCATTGGGCATGCCCACTTCCTAACAACCTAGGACCCAAAGCCTCTGAGCAAAGTCAGAGCTGTCACTTGACTTCCTTGTGACAAAACACAGCTACTTCAACAGAGCTCGCAGGAGCTTTCTGGAAAGTGCAACACAAAGAAGTTTAAGAAAGGCCTCTGAGTTTTCTACCTCAACTTTCCTGTGCCAACCAGGGCCACAAAGCCACCTTCTTAAAATAAAACTCCATCCAGTAAAACTTGCTGACGCTGAAGAAAATCATTACAGCCATGGTGCCTTCTGACATCCAGAATTATGTCCTAGACTTTGTGTAATGTGTGACTTAACAACTGAAAAATTATAAAACCCTAAAGACAAAACTACCCAGCAAGGGAGGGAGAGAAGAAAAGTGGGAGAGAGGAGGAGGCAGGAGGGAGGGAGGCAGAGGTACAAAGACATGCTGGAAATACCAGCTCAGTGGCAGGACATGTACTTAGCACACCCTGGGCCCTGGGTTTAGTCCATAGTGTTTCCTACCAAAACAATAAAGCAGAAAAATACAGTGAGTGCTTTTTAGGTATGTTTATTGGTTTTCTTTGGCCTGCTGGCTTCTGCTAGAATGGAGACAGCTGTCCCAAAGTTACCTAGCTAAAGCACAATCTTGGTCAGCCCTGGCAACATTGCCTGCCTGGTGTTAAATACCATCTAACCACAGCTCACTGGCACAGTGTAGAGACATCTGAGAGTGTATCGATTTTGCCAGACATGGGCTGGTATTGTATTTAGCTTTGGTTTCTCATTGCTTTGGGGCCTGTCCTGGAACTAGGTCTGTAAACCAGGCTGGCCTCGAACTCACAGAGATCCATCTGCCTCTGCCTTTCAAGTGCTGGAATTAAAGGTGTGTGCCACCAGTGCCTTGTTTGTATTTTAGCTTTCTTGAGCTTGTCTGTGGTGAGCACATCCCATGGCTCAGCATGGGCCACCACCACAGGCTGTTCTGGTTTCTTTTCAGAGCTGAGCACTGTTAGGTTAGAGGATCCTCTGATTGATTCATGGACCCTAGAGAGGGACAGGTATCCCGTGGAGAGCACAGATTCACATCACAGGCATGGGACATACTTCTGCTTCACCCCTTCTCAACAGCATATAATAATCATCTTACTCTGACCTGGGGGAAGGTCATGTGACCCCAGCTGGCCTTAAACTAGATGCTAAAGCTTTTCACTAAGCTTCATCCCCACTCTAACTTTTCCCTGCCTCAGTCAATAAGTCTCAGAAAACAGGCTTTACTCCTCTCTGCAGATTCCACTGAACTTCGGATCCTGTATGTGATTCACAAATATACACATTCATAAGTGAGCAGAGAAAATCATGCAGAAGTATTTCCACAGGGAGTATCCCGTCATGGTCGGGTTCACATGTTCCCCGTGGACAGAGGCCTGTGGTAAGGAGACAGAGCTGTAGCTGTCTGCAACTGCGGTGAAGGTTCTAGAGACATGACCAGGAAGAAAGGCAAAGCTGTGAGTACAAAGAAGATGGGAAAAAGAACAGTGACCCCACAAAGGCAAAGAAGAGTTCAGCCCCCTCCTGCAGCACAGAACTTGGACCAAAGTGGACAGCAGAAAGACAAGACAGCCTGGCTGAGAAACTGCAACCAGCAGCCCAGCGACATACACCAGGTAGCAGGTGATTCTGTTTGTTATTAGAAAACAAGTACAAAGCCAGATGAGTACATCTCAAAAGACTCACCTGGGAACTACACAGAGCTTAAAAATAACCAGTCACTGGTTCAATCTCAGACGCAGCAAAAAAAAAAAAAAAAAAAAAAAAAAGCTATTAAGAGTGTAAGGGTAGGTAAAACTAATATTTAAAATCCTTGCTGGTATGATAGGATGCACCTATAATCCTAGCACTCAGGAGACTGAGGTAGGAGGATAGAGGATCCCGAGTTCAAGACCAGCCTGGACTTCACAGCCAGAACTTGTCTCAAAACAAGGGCTGGGGGTATTTCACTCAGTGGCAGAATGGTTGTATATCTACCTTCAGTCCCCATTCCTCTAAGGAATGAAACCACCTGCAAGACCATTGTCATTAAGGAGACAATCTGTGACTTGAGGATATACTAGCAAGGGTATCATCCGTGGCATCCCTGTCCCACACAAGCAATCTAACCTAACCATCAAAGTAACAGCTTCATCATGCCTGGAGAGTGTAAGAATGACGGGAGAGGACAGAAAGGGATGCAGAAAGGAGGGACGGGAAGGGGAAAGGGAAGGAAACGAATGACTAATTGACATCATGAGGACAAGTGGCAAAATGTGAACACAGGCAGCATATTGGGAAACTTGGAATTTTCTTAATTTGGTGACTATATCAGGGTCTCCTTGCTGCCTTTGGACAAAGTCCTGCCACACTCCTGGCCAACCTGTTACTCACTACAATGCCCTCAGACTTTCAGTTAACTCTTCTACCTCAGCTCCAGGATACAGGTGTGCTCCTCCATGTTCAGCCTTATAAGTGAATGTCTTTGTGCTCAGATCTTAGGGGAAAACTAAGTTTTTGGAGCCAAGGTGTGAACAGCTTACTCTCAAGCACATTGTTGCACAGAGAGAGAGAGAGAGAAAATAAAGGGTGGGATGTTCAGTGCTCTGCACAAGAAGCAAACTGCACTCTGGGGTAGGAACCCTCTTGCCTAAAGCCCTTCCTTCTGAGGGAAAGCTCTCCAGCAGCCTCTGCTGCTCCTAATGCTGTCAGGCAGGTCCTTCTACTCTGGGACGTGAATGGTCAGAAAAACTGGTCTGCCCTAAAAACGAGTTCACCTATGCTTCTTGCTTTGTGACAGCCAGACCAAGGGGGAGCCATCTTAGAAGGGGTACCTGGTCCCCACGGTTCTACTGTAGCTGATGGAGAGGAAGAGTGCTGAAAGGAAGCAGCAGAGCTTGGGAAGCCCACATCTGCTTCTAAGTCTGTACTTGGGCCAGATAGGACTTAGCATTCACATATGCTTGAGTAAAGCAATTCCTAGCCATGGGCCAGGCTAGTTAAACCCCATTCAGATGGGACAAAACCCAGCAGTGTGGGACCAAGTCTGCATCCTCAACAAACACAAGCCAGCTCAACCCTCGGTGCTGTGTGCACACTCAAGGGAAGAAGGCACAAGGTGGGCAGCCCTTCCAGACATGAATGTTCACTGACTTGAAAACCTATTTTCTTTTCTGTTCACAAAATCAAACACTAGGAAAAGCACTTTCAAGAACCAAGGGTGCAGCATTTAATCCACGCTCGAGAAGCCAATTTAATCACATGTGGGAATGGTCACCTCAGGTCCCTTCCTCACTAAACCAAAGCTTGGGCACACCAAGTGACACTTCACTAATTGCCTGCCGGCACTGGAAAAAGCCCTCCAAAACAAGCCCATGACATGTGACGGGAGGGCCGGTGCCAATGCTGGGGGCAGCGCATGCTCCCCTTCCCCAGGACAGGTACACTCTGAACAAGCACAGAGCACCCACCAGGACAATGCAGCGTCCAGAAAGGCTTCAGGCTGCGCTGAGAGTAGCTTTAAGCTGGGAGGACAGCCCAGGTGGGAGGGTGCCAGCTGGATCTCAGCATCCGTGTACAAAGCAGGATAGGCGGTAAGTACTCGAGCACTGAGGAGGTGAATCCTGGGGACTCCCCTGCCAGCCAGTCAGCAAGATCAGCAAGCTCCAGGCTCAGTGAGAGACCCTGGCTCAAAAATTAAGGTACAGAGTGACTGGGGAAGACACTCAATATCGACCTCTGGCACACACACACTGGGAGAAGAGGGGGTTAGAGGAGAGGGGAACTGGGAGCATTGAGAGAAAGAGACAGAAACAGATTGGGGAGAGACAAGAGACAGAAAAAAAAAAAAAAAAAAAAAAGCACGTGCATGCGCACTAGCCCCAAATTCATCTGAATAAAACTCAGGGACATAAATTTAGCATGTGAGGGAACAAGGAGCCATACCTACCACCTACTAAGCTCTGCCTCTTTACGGAGAAGTCTCCTGGAGAGACAGTAGCTGGTCATGTAGGTCTAGCAAACCACTGTTGTCCCCAGTCACCAGGCCAGCACTCTGCAGATCCTGTGGCAGAGCCCTCCTGGGCCCACAGTGACAAAGCAGAAAGAGAAGAGACACTAGAGAGTGGACAGAGCTATGAAGCACCATGCGGAAAGGCACACACCCAGGAAGAGAGGGCGGCAGCGACAGCTTCTGAAAGAATGAAGTGCGGTCACCTATGTCCCCCACACCACCACTGTGGCCACGAAAACCTGAAAAAAAGTCAGACTCTACTTCAAAAGACAGGCGAGAGCAGATGAAAAGGAAAAAGCTTAACACGTCAATCATTTCCTGTGCTTATGGAAAGTGAGTGGATTTGTTTGATGGGCCTCTTTGCTGAATTCCCATGACCTTCCGAGTTGCATACAACAGGCTTACGGTGAGGTCCTACTTCCTACTCCCACTGCTTCAGATGTCCCAACCTTTCCTGGACTGGATGGTTTTAAAAATAAAGCCTCAGACCCTGTGCTGCAGTTTCCCTACAGAAGCCAAAAGCAGATGGGCTGAGGCAGGCAGCTGGAGGGTGATAAAGAGGAGCCTGGGCAGGCGGACAGAGGACCACAGCAGAGGCGCAGCGTAGAGAAACAGGACCATGTGGGGTCCTGGCCGTGATGTACACACCTTGGCATTGATATAAGGGTCAAAGGGGCCGTACTTTTTGAGTTCTTTGATTTCAAGAGCATTCTATAAAAAGGAGAGGAAAACACAATGTGATGATAAAATGGATGAAATATATCAAAGCAAAATGTAGCCCTTGGGGTCAAGGCTAAACAACCTAGACCTGAGCTTGGGGTACCTGAGGGAGTTAAAGAGAGAGCAGCTCCAGGGACCTCACTATTACCTAGGTATCCACTGGAGCCACATTAATGGCTTTAAAATCATTGTCCTGTTTGTAACGGCTTAAATCCATTTGGTTCTTCCAGCTATTTTGTACACCCTGCCCAGTCCCTGCCAGCAATATTCAAAGCACTGGGCTGGCATCCACCTATCCTTGCCTACTCCAGGCAGGATGCAGCTGTGAGCAAGACAAGCTAGCATGCTCAAGTGGCTCAAAAACCCAAGCAGCTGTGTTTCAAGGCAAAGTGGGCGAAGACAGGATTAGAAATGATTGCTGAAAATTGCTGAAGTGAGAAGGACTTCAATGGGTGGGCAGTTTTTCAACATTGAAGAATATTAGTTATAAGCAAGCTTCTCAATCATTTCTTTCAGAGAGAAAGAAACTGTTGTTTCAATCAGGAGAGCTGCACTTAGGTCTAAAGAGGCACACGTGAGACCAGCGTCATACACAGGCATCCTTACCCACCCAGAACCCCCACAGGTGAGGGAATGGCAGGCTGACAGACCGCTACCCACACCCAGTCTCCAAATGGAGGCACCTGGGACTCTCATGGTTTCCCTCCTCAGATAGAGCTGCCGCTCTCAGAATCGAGCCATGCTCTGCCAGCTCAGAGGAAGCCTGTGTGGGCCTTGCTGATAAGTGGACTTGCCAGATGGCATCCTAAATTTTGAGGAAGACCCTGATGCTCCAAAGCATGGAACTACCTTCTCGAGCAAGTGAGTGAGCCAACCCTGCACTCACTGAGCAGAGCAGTCTTGTGTGCACTGTAGGAGCCCAGTGACAAACACCCTCTCCGCAGAGGACCTGAATCCTGGGACCCAAACTACAGAGATGGGCAGTCACAAGAGCCTTCATGACAAAGTCTCTTCTTTCCAAACAACAAAGAAGCTATCCTAAGAACACTTAAATGCAGAGGCCTTGTAAGGTTTTCTCTTCTCTCTCTCTCTTTTTTTCTTTTCAAATTAGGGTCTCATGTTGTAGTCTAGGTTTAACTGGAACCTCTGAACTTTCTACCTCAACCTTTTGAGTGTGGGGATGCAGGCTGTACACCAACCACCAGAGCTACATCAGATAATTTTTTTTCTCTTTCTTCTTTTCCCTTCATCCCTCCCTTTCTTCTCTCTTTCCCTCCCTTCCTCCCCTAGGCAAGGTCTCATGTAGCCCAGGCTGGCCTTTGACCAAAGATGATCTTGAAACTCTTGATTCTTCAGTCTGCACTTCCCAAGTGCTGAGATTACAGGCATGTGTCATCAAATCCAGCTAAGTAGTTTTCCTTAAATGCTGCCTTTCTGTGTTCTAATAACTCTGTTTTTTCAGCGTATGCTAGAAGTGATCTTCGTTTTGCTGGGTCACCTCTGACCTGCATCCACATGGTTTTGAGTTGTGAGCTTACTTTATCAACACCAACACAAATAATTTCACTTCTACACATTCCAATATATGTAAAATAACAAGTGAGCTCACAGGGCATTGACAAACACCAGGAATATTATGCTGCATGTTGATGGCAAAGCACAAATCATAATTATGTAATCCCTTGAGTTTGAAACTAACTCTACATAATTTTGAAAGATTTGCATCCAATTTTATACTGTGAGTCTATGCATGTGTATGTAAGTGCACGTGTGAAATTCTAGCTCAAACCTACATTTGTCAACTGCATATAAAATGCATCTTCCAGGCCTGTCGTGATGGCACATGCCTTTGATCCCAGTAGCCTTGGACTTAGATCAAAGTCCTGGTCTACAGAGTGCATTCCAGACAGCCAGGGCTACTCAAAGAAACCCTATCTTGAAAAACAAAAACAAACAATTCCAGAACAGGTTCAGCCCACTACTACTGATGACAGGGTCAGGCCTAGGGAATGGAGCTATACATGCCCTGGGACAGAATGAGGTGCAGTCTGGCCACAGCTGAGGGAGGAGGACAGTCTTTCTCCCAACCTGTTCGTTGACTCTGGTGTGTGAGGGCCCTTGGTGGATGAGCAAGCGCACTATCTGGGCGTCTCCTTTCCACGCTGCCAAGTGCAGCGGGTAGCAGCCTTTTGAGTCAGCAACATTGGTCAGCGCGTCGTTCCTCAGGAGAACCTCAACCACATCCCTAGAAAGCAAAAATCAACCATGAGCTCATAGGACCAGAAGTCTTTCCATGGGTGTGCTGCAGAGCCCTGACTTCTCTTCCTGATGGCTAGCATGGGTGTGCTGCAGAGTGCTGTGACATCACCTCTCGATGGCTAGCCTCCTCCTCTGAGCTCATTGCCAGATCGTCTAAAGCCCCACAGCCACTGGTGAGGCTGCTAGGCCGACTGTGCAGAGTAAATGACTCACCTTCCTTGATAATCCATCTATTCCCTACTACTTTGAAAATGCTGGACTCCTTGCCTAAACTGTGCATTACTCCCTGGTTTGCAATATTTAAATAGCACTCAGCATTTACATAAAAGCAGTTAAACAAGGCAAGAGATGTTGTTCACTAGCTATTCCAATGCCTTGGGGAGGTGGGAGCTGAGAGAAGACAGAGCAATTATCAATGTCACAGACATATGCTGGATGCACAGAGCATCACCTCATAGCTCCAAGAACACTGGCTTTCTTCTTAGTGACATAAGGCCAAAGAAAACCTGGCTAGCAAATTGCCACCTTTGAGTGGCAGTCACTCAAAGGAGTCACACTAATTTGGACTTTCCCAACTGCTTGAGAGGAGCCTCAGTAGATTTCTTTTCTTCCTTTATGCGTATACCATGTGCCATGGAGCACGTATGGAAGTCGGGGGACAATTTCAGGAGTCATTTCTCTATATCTACCATGTGGGTCCCAGGGATAAAAGTCCAGTCACTGGGCACACAGCAAGTGCTGTACCCTAGGAACCATCTCCCCAGCCCTAGATTTTAGCTTTAAAGTAATTTTAGGAAAGAAACAGTGTCCATGTTCAATTTGAGAAGAGTTCAATGCTGAAGCAAACTGCCAAGTGGTCACACATTAGACAAGCGACAGAATCTTCAGTGTGCGGGCCTGTTCCTTTCTCGTATAAAATGAGGGTGTGTGTTAACAGCAAAGCAGGAGATCAGCACCAAAGAGAAGAAAGGTCAGGAAGATCTCAGCAAGCCCCTGGTCTACCACCAGAACTAGACCCACACAGCTCCTCTTCCCAGGACCTTGTTTCTGGCTCTCAACACCATCTTCTCTGTCCCCCTTGTTTTCTGCTCTTCCACTTCTGGGAAAACCCACCCCAGACCCCATGACTGCACCTGTGCTGTGCCGAGCCTTTGGTGTCAGTCCAGTGATGACTCTCAGCAAGGAACTCTCAGCTCCCAAGTTCATCTATTTCCCACTCAAGTTCTAATACCTCCTTAGACTTAGCAGGGTTAAGTGGGCCACATACATGTTTTCCCTCTCTATTAGGAAGCTGATCTTGTGGGGGGAAGAATGACAGCTATCCTGATGGAAAGCCCCTCCCTGCCATCTACTGTGTTCATCAGGGGGGTGGACAAGATGTTCATGATCTGCCTGCCCCGAGTCTGGTCTTCACAGTCATCACTGTTGTGAGACACTGGAACACTCTAGACAGGAAGAGATCATTAGGAGAAAAGGTGAAATTCACTTCTGTCTAAAGATCTTTCTGGAGGTGGGGCAGAAAAAGATGCTTACATCATTCACCGGAGAGGAACTCGGTGTCTGCATGGTTTGTGTGGACTCTGCTTCTCTCTGTCCTCTTAGGAGACAGAGAGACATCTGAGCTGGGTTCCATAGGGTGGGCAGGGGTCCTGGCACTTACCTGTGGCCATTCAAAGCAGCGTGGTGTAGTGGAGTATAGCCCGTGCTATCTACACAGTTCACATTCGGCCCTCTCCACATGCTGGTGAGAAAAAGAGAGGGAGATTTTAAAGGCTGAAGAGACAGCTACCTAATGGTATAGTAGATAACCAAACTGGGAGAAGCTCCCACCAACTGCGGACAGTGGTACACAGCACCTAGAGTGGTCTAATGAGCAAGGAGCTAATGAGAAAGGCTCAGTGTCAACCCAAGGGCCAGCTCTGCACCTGTTGGCTCACCTGAACTGCATCACTTGCTCAGTTTTGATCTTAGGCCCCTGAATGCTCCCAACTCACAGAAATGTCACCCAAAGAACACAAAAGCAAACCACCCAGCCACACATGGGTGCTGAGCATCACCCTGTTCTGCTGAGTGACATCGGGAGCTACCTCAATACAGATCACAGATCAAGGCAGCACTTGACAGTGTCAAAAGTGCATCAGGCGTTCTTTCCTTTTGTGGCCATCGCTGGATCGCAGCCGCCAAAATGAAGTTCAATCCCTTCGTGACTTCTGACCGAAGCAAGAACCGCAAACAGCATTTCAATGCACCTTCTCACATTCGGAGGAAGATCATGTCTTCCCCTCTTTCCAAAGAGCTGAGACAGAAGTACAATGTTCGATCTATGCCCATTCGAAAGGATGATGAAGTTCAGGTTGACCGAGGACACTACAGAGGTCAGCAGATTGGCAAAGTGGTCCAGGTGTACAGGAAGAAATATGTCATCTATATTGAACAAGTACATGGAGAAAAGGCTAATGGCACAACTGTCCATGTGGGCATCCACCCCAGCAAGGTGGTTATCACCAGGCTAAAGCTGGACAAAGACCGCAAGAAGATCCTGGAAAGGAAAGCCAAGTCTCGACAAGTAGGAAAGGAGAAGGGCAAATACAAGGAAGAAACGATTGAGAAGATGCAGGAGTAGGGGCGTCTCATACACAGATTTCATTAAAGACTGTTTAAGTTAAAAAAAAAAAAAAAAAGTGCATCAGGATACATGAGTGGAAACATAAACTCGACTGTGTCCCCTTCCTTCAAAAAGACAGTTGGCTAAGGGGAATAGTAGATTTTGAATTCACAGGTTCAACTATTGTGGGTTGAAATAGGCATTAAAAATGCACCTCTACTGAACATACATAGCCCTCTTTCTTATAACCCAAACAATACAGTCTAAAACCTGTTTGCACAAGGCTGGCAATAAGTGGTCCATGCCTTTGATCCCAGCACTGCAGAGGCAAGGTGATCTCTGAGATCTCTGAAAGAAAACAACAACAACAAATGCCATTTACAGAGCAATCAAGAGGTGGTGGCAAGAACACAGGAGTATGTATGTGGATAACATCTAGTTCATATACACCATTTCACACAAGGGATTCCTGGAGTCAACCTCCTGGACACTCACTGATAAACCACTACACCTTCTCTGTAGATGTTTGTGTACCCAATGACAAAACCTATAGCTTGAGGGTCTCATCTCCATAAGAAACACCATATAGGGAAACAATGTTACCTCCTTCAACTCTCAAAACCCTAATTCCGACTTGACTCCCATCTCCCTGCACATGCCAGAGCCTCAAAAGTCGTCAGGCCCTCACTTGTTTCTGACTCTGCCAGCACTGATGGTGGCAGGCAGCCCCTCTCTAACATTTATTTTTATGGTTTTAGAGATCAAACACAAGGTCTCACTCAAGTTGCTAGGTAACTATTCTGAGCTACATCCCGCCCTTTCCTTTTTAAAGTGTTATCAGGGGCAGTTGTTTAATCAAAATACGTTTTTGGCATCTATAAAAATAACCGGCTTTCATGTCCAGTGGCCTGAGCACACCGTTCCTACAGCTTCTATATTAAGCTGCTCTCATTCTTGGAGTGACCTTATCTGTTGCCACCTGTGAGAGCCTGGCTGGTACACACTGTGCAGTGTGTCTGCTCTGGAACACAACACTTGAATTTTCACGTCTATGTTTGTGAGGTTGGCCCAGAGGTTCTGCCTTTTCATATCACTGTAAGTTGATAGATAGTGTCAGTACTCAGATTGGGTCAGAAATCAGCTTGGCTGTTGTCCACTCATTAAAAAAAAGTCATTATGCTGATTGTTTGAGATTTGCTTTTATGTGCATGGGTGTTTTACCTGCATGTGTGTGTTTGCATCACCTGTGTGCCTGGTGCCTAGAGGGGTCTGGAGAGAGTGCTGAGGTCCCTGGAACTACAGATGGCTGTGAGGCACCACACATGTGCTGGGAATTAAACACTGGTCCTCTGCAGGAGCTGCAGATGTTATTAGCCACTGAGCATCTCTCCAGTCCTATCTGATTTTTTATTTGGGAACTAGGACGTAGCAGTAAAACCATCTTTCACACAGAGCCTTCCAGCCTGGGTGCTAGAAGCAGGATCCTTACAGAAACAGCTTGGAAACAAGCTCAGTTACAACTACAGCCCAGGCTGAGCCGTCCATCACCCCAGCTACCTGCTCTGAGTAAAAACGACCATAGCAAGTGTCCAAAGCTATCAAAATCAAATACAGCAGAGAACTGATCAGGACAGTTCATTCCATCCCTGCTTAAAGTCTAAAAGATTTTTACACTCACTGGGGGTTGCGGGGCATAGAACAACTTCTGGACATTGCTTCTCTCCTTCCTCCTGGTGGCCAAATTCAATCGCAGGGCTTGGCAACCAGCACTTTACTTGCTGAGCCACTTTACTCCCCCCCCCCCACACAACCTAAAGTTTAATAAACGGGGGGGGGGGGGACCTCGACTGGTGGTGGTGGCGGCAGCGGCGGCGGCAGCAGCGGTGGCAGAGGAGTGTGTCTTTAATCCCAGGACTAGGGAGACAGAGGCAGGCAGATCTCTGTGAGTCTGAGGCCAGCCTGGTCTACAGAGAGAGTTCCAGGACAGCTAAACAAAAACAAAAACAAAAATCTCACACCTCACAGATGGATTCAGCCCTAGGAAGAAAGGACAGATCTCACCAGCTGTCAAAATTGAGGTATTATTTTTTTCCTTTGCTTTCTTTTTGTTGTGTGGGATGGTGGTGGCAGGTTCTCATCATGCAGTCCAGGATGGCCTCAAACTCAGTCTGTCTGCCTCAGGCTCCCAAACACTGGGATCACACGGACAATCACATTTAGCTTTTTGAGAAATTCATAGAGGAGGGAGGCAGAGGCCAACCTTCAGTGTTTTCCTTGGGGATGTCTATCTTTTTTCTCTTGAGACAAGCTCTCTCACTAGGATCTGAAGTTCACCCATTAAACTAGATGGGTGGTCAGTAAATGGGCCCAGTGACCCACATTTCAATCCTGCCACTGGGATTGTAAGCGTGTGCCACCACACCTTATTCAGTGCTGGGGACTGAGTACAGGTCTTCATGATTGCATGGCCAGGCACTTTACTGACCTGAATCATCCCCTCAGCCCGGGAATGCTGATGCATGCCAAAAAGAATACAAACTATAGCCTAATGTATGACTTTCTACTTGTCTGGTCAACAGAAGAGAGTGGAATCACCAAGAGTTTGTGGAAGCAAGCACTGCAGTGAGACAAGTTTAAGTTAGTAAGTTCTGTTAGGAAGACAATTTGGCAGCATTTATCAAAACCAAAAATAGCATTCACTTGGAGCCAGCAACTTTACTTCCAGGCAACCATCCAACAGAAACACTGTACATGTGCACCAAGCACAAGCTCACATAGTATCACTTCCCTGAAGAGTACAGTACTAAAGCCCAAGCACACCAACAGACAAGCAGTTACGATGATGACGGACCCACAAAATGAATACAACACAGCCACTGACAATGCAATGGAAAGCTGGGCTTGTGTGTCCCGACCTGAGTGCAGCATGCTGAAAGCCTGGGAAGGGATCTCACTGAAATGTAAGCACCCCCTTTTTACAGACACACAGGACACAAATGCTCTGGAAATGGGTGAGAGTGGAAGACTGCTCACCACGCACTGTTCTTAGTGGTGGCCTTGAAGGCACTGAAGAATGATGATCAGACACTTCCATGTTGACACAGTAGTGTCCCACGGCATTCAGAACCTCACTGTGGCTTTTGCGTGGAAGAACGGATACATGCAAACAAAAGCACTGAGGTGTTCCTAACAAGCAGCTGAGTGTATGGCACGCCTCTCCAGGAAGCCCCAGAGAGTGATTCAGAACCCGCAGGAAGGAAGTGTTCTCTAGGAGCCCACTGAGCAGCCACAGAAACAAGCAGCAGACAAAAAGCCTAAGTAATGGGAGAAACACCTGTAAGTCATGTACCTGAGAAGAAGCTAACATCTGAAACACACAGACTCAAATGACTGCACGAAAACAAGCCAATTTAAAGATGGGCAAAGAACACAAAAACACATCTTTATTATTGTGACAGGGCCTCATGTAGCCCAGAATGGCCTTGAACTCTTGGTCATTCTGTTTCTACCTTCTAAAAGTGGGGGAAACAGGCTATTCCCAACTCTGTAAAGCTATTTTATACAAGACATATGAATGGTCAACAGGTAAATGAAAAAAAAATTAATGTCACTAATTATTAAGAAAATGCAAACCCAAACTTATGTGACATTATTTTGTGTCTGTCAGAATAGCCACTGGGGGAGGGGGGGAGACACGTAAGAGCTGTGAAGGTTGTAAAAACACCCTTGACACTGCTCATGGGAATGTAAACTCATAGAGCCATATGGACTAAAGAAATATTGCAAGAATTACCCCAGGACCCAGCAACCCCACTACTATGTATGAGCACCCACTCAAAGCAATGAAGTGAGCATTGGGAATGAGATGTGGGCACTCCCACACTTGGGACACAGAGTCAACAGGAGGGTCCACTAACAGATGATCATGAACAGAAAGAGGAATCCTATTTAGCCCTGAAGGACTAATAAATTAACCTGAAGGACACTCTGCTGAATGAAATGGGCCAGCTACAGACACCATACAGACTCACTTAGATCCAGAATCTCAAGTGGAACCCAGAAGCTTTTCGAGTCCTTCTATGACATGCACATTTAAAACACTGTAGCACATGAACTTCATTCACATTGTTGATTTA